GACTAAGAGTAAAATTATCTATTGATTTCATAAAGTGGACAAGTATTATTGGATATCCTAAAATAGTATAGTGGACAATTATTGTTGGATGGAGAAAGTATGTTATGTCTTGATTTTACTATCTTTAGAAAAACCACTTTTGAAATGTTCTAAGTATAAAATAATTTTTTAAAAATACTTAGAAAAAGTACAGTCACTTATTTTTTTTTTAAAGTAAGAAAACTTAATTTAAAAAGGTCTTAGATAAACCTTTAAGAATTTAGAGAAAACAGGTAAGAAGTTCTTATCTCTACTTTAAGAAGGTATTAACGCTTAAAATAGCCGCTAACACGCAGTTATCCGACGATTTAATTGAAATATTTGACTAAATTTTGAGAAAATAATTAAGTAAAGAACATTTTTTGGGGAGCTTTTAGAAAAAGGAAACCTAACTTAAACTTTTGAAACAAAAAGAAAGTGATTAAAACTTGAGAAAGAATAGATTAAGATTAACACTTTAAAAATAGATTAAGATTAAAACTTTAAAAATAGATTATGTAGGAATTTATTTGAATCACTTTAAAGATCATACCTTAAACCAATTTTGCAATAAAGGCATGAAACTATCTTAAATTAATTGAAGAGAAGTGAAATTTTTGACTAACAATATTTGATTTATGTAAATAAGGAAAGCAAGAGTTGATAAAATAAAATTTATTAAAGTAAACCAACACAAAGGAAACCATTCATCTTTTGAGGAATCTTATTAAGATAATTAACAAAATTAATAATTAAATAAAATTAGTCAAAACATAATCAAACCAATTAGAAAAACAAAGAGATAATGAATTCGGTCCCCTACTTGGGCCAAATTCGCTACAATTTTTGGGCTTTAACCCAATTCTCATTTTGAATACACATGATGTATATCAGTTTTTCACAAATCATGTTGCATATAGTCTAGCATTTGAACTTCTGAGGCATGAACTTCATCAAAATTGACTCTATAATGGTGTCAGGTTTCATCCCACTCTTTTTTTGGCAGCAAACCGAGACAACAAGCAAGAGGACTTCACCACCACTGACTGAAGCTCCAACAAGAACTCCACTGAACGAAATGAAATCAGAAATTCGAGGGTTTAACCTTCGTGTGTTTATATTTGCAAGAACAATGTTCTTTGCCCTCAAAATCCAACTTCAGATTGCTCTCCAAATCACTAAGTATAGAGGGCTATTTATATGAGAAGATTGGATGTTTTGGGGGGAATTTGTTGAGGCAATTGAAAAAAATTCAAACTTCTTCCAAGGTAGACAAGAAATCCCTGGAAAAGGGGAAAAATGAGACGTGAGGTGATGGCTATGTCTCATCGACGATAACTTAGGGCTAGGGTTATGGGCTTCTGAGTTGAGGAAGATGGTGTGGTAAAGGGGAAGAGGGAGAGCGAAGGGCGTGAGAGATAGAGGGAGCGTGAGGACTGGAAAAGGAAAAGAGAGAGGAGAGCATGGGAGAGTGTCTGCAAATATATGTATATGTGTACATGTGTGCAAGAGTTAAGAATATGACCTATTTTATTTAAAATTTGACCACTTGAGTTGCTACTCTAACAGAATTAGACTTAGGTATAATCAAATTGAGTCAAATAACTAAATTCAGACAAAATTAAAATGAGATGGATAATTATCGATTAATTATTTGAGCTTCTTAATTTAAACAAGACAAAATAATTATCAAGACATAAGTTCATTACTTAAAATGGAAAACTAATTATACATAATTATAAAATTCGCTAATTTAAAGGAAATAAATATGTATTTACACTAAACACTATTTTAGGCTATTTATTAAATATTTATATAAAAGAAAATATTATATATACATCAATATATAAAATTATATAGTTATTTCTGGAAAACAAAAATAGCAAAACTAACTAGAGAAAGATTTAAAATATTTTAGGATTTTTCAAATACGATTATTTCAAATTGTTTGAAATTGAAGAAGCTCGATAATTAACTCAAATTGCATAGGGTCAAAATTGGGTGTCAACAACTACCCCATACTTTGGATAGGGTCGATGAAAGAGAACCTGACAAAGAAGATTGACGAATCTAATTTTGACCGAACTTATTTCCATCTCTTTGAAAGAAAGACTCGATACAAATTAAAAAAAAAATTATGATCAGACCCTGACATTGAGTTTCCTACATATCTCAAGTTACATGAGAAGTCAAATCATTTATAGTTCAAAACAACGCTTGATTTGGCGCATGATATTTTGGAAAAAAACTCAAAAGATATCTGGAATCAAATTATGGAGAGACCGGAATGCTCGAAAATAAGACTCAAGAGAGATTGTTGGAATACATCTGAGTTTTCAACATGGAGCCCACCTTACATATCCCTTGACCTCAGGAATCAGGTTGTCTGTAGTTCAACTCCATTGGTTGGTAAGTCAATCTATTATGCTAAGATAACCTTTGGTTCAGGAAAAATGACAAATAAGTCAAGTTACGAAATAGAGGTTTGCAACCTCTTAGTCATGAATTTGGAGCTCTTCACATCCATCAGTAAGAACTTACACGGACATAATTTTCAAAACATCTGGTGTATTGTCACTCGGATTTGACGATTTGCTTCCAGTTGGAGTTGAAAATTACACCGGATGCGAAACTAAAACTAAAAGACCCCAAGAAAATATCGACATGCCTTCTGATATGGGTGTGGTTTGATTGTGGTGTAAGTCTCTCCTCTGCTTGCGTCCAAAGAGTTTGATATTCATCCGTATACTACGTCCTAGTTCACTGTTAAGATAAAGTTACACATTGTGCTGCATCCTTTTTAATGACATCCGCACATGTGGTTTAATTGAGACCGCATCCTCTTGGATGTTCTCGATAAAGACTAAGATAATATTTATTAGTAGAAACTGTAATTTAAATAGAAAAAGTACTGTCTTTACTACATTGGCACGTCAGCCTCCTCCGATTTTGACGTAGAGCAAATAGAGCACCCTTCCAAAGTTGGTGTGATTTATAATATACTTCTCGAATGTTAGCCTCCTCTAGTTTTGACGCCATATACGATGAATTGATATGATGTAATATGTTCATAGCCCTCTCGAGAAGATATCACCTCTTCTAGCAAATGGTATGGATGACCCTCTCGGCAAATGATATTACCACCCTTGATAATATAACATGGATGACCCTCTCGGTAATGATATTATCACCTCCAATAATATAATATGGATGATCCTCTCGGCAATGAACCACCTCTGATAATATAATGTTGATGGCCCTCTCAGCAATGATATTATCACCTCAATAATATAATATGGATGACCCTCTCGGCGATGATATTATCAACTTTGATAATATAGTATTGATGACCCTCTCGACAATGATATTATCACCTTCAATAATATAATATGAATGAACCTCTCGGCAATAATATTATCATCTCTTATAATTTAATGTTGATGGCCATCTCGGCAATAACATCACCACCTCTGATGACATGGTATGAAATGGCCTTTTGGCAATGCACATGACCACGTTCGGTATCGATGTGACTTACAAATATCCTCTAACGTTAGCCTTTTCCGAATTTAACGTGACAATGGATATTTTTTGGCAAGTTGCACTTCAAATTCTCTCCAATATTTGATGTGTCTGATGTATGCCCTTCAGACATCTTTAATGCTAGGAAATGCGATATGAATGTCATTTGTACATCTTAAAGTATCATCCTCTCAGTGCTTTCACCTGTTTTTTCCTTTGACCACTTGTATGTTCGTTGTGGATCCTGTTTTTCTGGGAAATATGAGAAAGACATTGTTACTCGAAATACCAAATTGCTTGCTTTTGTCTCGGTAATATCAATATCATTTTTTGTATCCAAAAAAAAATGTCATCCTTGAGTGTTTTTTCTCTTTTGATTTTTTCATATTTGTTGTATAGAGGGATATGGTGATATCATATATGATATCCTTGTAAACCTGCATCCATAAATTTTTTTATTAGTTTTAAATGAACTAATATGTGTTGACTTCTTTGATTGCTTACTCTTCCTCTCACTATCTTTGGTTGACTGCTTCTAGCTTCTCGCTTCTTGGTAGACATAAGATAGATCTATATTTTATACAAACTAATTTGATATATGTATACAGTTTTAAGGAAATTATATTTTTGAAAAGTAATTTGGGGAGTGTCACTGCCAAATCTCATGTTACATTAAAGCTTAAATGAACACTCCAGTTTGAGATTTCGACATATACGATAGCTTGGTTGGAACCTTTGAAATTCCATTAAGTTGTAAAATCAGAAGATTATTGACTTTGAATTTTTGGCAATTTTGGGGTTCATTTGGAGTTGATCGTGAGCTTTTGATCATGCCGAAGATTACTTGAAGTTAACTCTGAACTTCTGACAATACTTGATGAAATTTTTGAGAAGCAGTGAAATGTCTTGGCATTTCTTGAAATTCTGGTAGGAAGATTTGCAGAATTTTTGAGATCTTTTCAAAAATTCTTCCTAGTTGCATATTTTTGATGCATTCTCAATCTTGTCTTGTTGGAGAAAGATCTTTATATTATGAATTTTTAAGTTCCTCTAAAAAACCTGCCCTAGTTTCCATTATAAAGGGAAATGGAAATTTTATGGGGTATATAACCGTGTCGTTGTGATGCCTACGTATTCTTTTAAGGCAAAAATCTGGTCAAACGTAGTTCCTTCTTTTTGAACATAAAGAGAATAGGAAATTTTAATAAGGAAATGACTGAGGCCGACATAGGACACCTACGTATCTCATTCTTGAGAATTCAGGTCAAATGTAGTTCAAACACAAGAAAATATAAAAAAAATGATAAATGGGTGACTGAGGCCGACATAGGCCGCCTACATATCTCATTCTTGAGAATTCAGGTAAGACGTAGTTTATTATAGACATATAAAAAATAAGCAAAAGTAATTGTAAGCAAATGATATGATTACAAGGAAAGATATGAGAGAAAAACTAATCTTCAGATGCAGTATCTCTTGACAACATGTAAGTTGATTGGTTTTGGCCACTCTTGTCCGTCCATCTCTAACAGGATCCAAGCACCTCCGGATAGCACTTTACGAACCATGTATGGTCCATGCCAATTCGGTGCAAATTTTCCCTTGTACTCATCGTGATGAGGGAAAATACGTTTGAGGACTAATTGTCCTTCTTCAAATGGTCGAAATATCACTCTTTTGTTGAAAGCACAAATTATTCTCTGTTGATATAATTGACCATGAAAAACAACGGTCATCATCTTTTCATCTATTAAGGCTAAGTGTTCAATCTGATTACGAACCCAATCAACATTGCTCAGTTTGTCTTCTTGAATGATCCTCAACGAAGGTATTTCAACTTCATCATGTATCATTGCTTCTACCCCATATACTAGCAAGTATGGAGTTGCTCCAATTGATGTTCTACCGGCGGTTTGGTATCCCAATAAAGCATATGGTAACATCTCATGCCAACCTCTATGATTATCAATCATCTTTCTCAAGATCTTTTTGATGTTCTTGTTAGCAGCTTCTACGACTCCATGCCTTTTTATGTTTGTATGAATACTTAGTATTAAAAAAAACTCGACGTTGAAAAATCTGAGTTTTATTAATTTGCTTTGGTTTATAGATTTGAAAATTCGACACAAATAATTTGATTTGATATTTGATAAACTCGAACGAACGAACCCATCCATATACACTCTCATTGTTAGTTAGGAGATTACACTAAATATGTTGTTGTAACAATAACTCACAAGTTATTACTCGCATCCTTAAGAATTGTTTTATGTCGAGATACACTAAATATGTTGTTGTAACACTAACTCAGAAGTTACTACTCGCGTCCTTAAAGAATTGTTTTATGTCGAGATACACTAAATATATTGTTGTAACAATAACTCACAAGATATTACTCGCGTCCTCAAAGAATTGTTTTATGTCGAGATACACTAAATATTACTTAACTCCACATAATGACCATTACTTCATAATTATTATTATGGTAACACTATGAGTATCTCTAAGGGCAGTGTACAAACCAATTTAAATAGGCATAATACATAAATGTATCCTTTAACTTGGCCTCATTTCATATTTATACCATTTAACTTTGGGTGTACACAAGTAGGCACTTAATCTTGTACAAACTTGAACAAGTAGACACATGAGTCCTATGTGACATAATACATGTAGGACACCCCATAAGATGCAAATTGCCATGTAGGATGTCACGTAGGTAGTGTGTGTCTATTTGTATACAAATTTAAGTGTACTTGTGCACTCAAAGTTGAAGGATATAATTAATATGAAATGAGGCCAAGTTAAAGAGCATATTTATTATATTATGCCATTTAAATAAGTTATTTATAATACTCTCCTTCTTGCTGCCAAACATATACTTAAATCTATAAAATATAGAAACTAACAAGAGCAGTTATTGAAGAATTTGTATGTTCCAAGAATGGAAATTTTATTTGAAATTGAGAAAAAATTACAGATTAATAACCCCCTATCTTCAAATAAAAATCAACAAATATATACTTCTAAAATCAAATGAATTTGATGTAAAAGAATGCCTATATTTGTCTATATGGATTGAATAAATATCCAAGGCACTTGTTATGTATTTTTGCTATATTAATTAATACATATATAGATTAAGCAAATGCCTAATCACCATCATTAAGGTGCATGGATATATTAACAAAATAAAAATATGAATCAATCAATATGAGCTTTCCATTACCTATCTTCATTCTTCTGCTAGATTAATAAACCCTTGCAGTAATGCAACTTTTTTTTCTGAAAAATATTATGTTTAGCTTATGCTTACGGAGTCTGTTTGAATCGATTTGGATACGTCTAGATGGTTCAATCGACACGTTCCTAGAAGAAACTCTGGGAGTTCTTCTGGTGTATTACCCTATAAAAATATGAATTAAACAATATGCAACTATTTTCAAGATGAGAAAAGAAGTAAAGTATTTTATTAAGAAGACGATGATTTATACCTGTATCAGAAATGCCATTTCGATAACAAGATTGTTCAAGTATCCGAGAACAAGATTGACCACACCCCGTGCCACTGTTGATGATCCAACATCAATGCCAAGCTGAAATATCAACACAAATTTCCTGGTTAGTATTTGAAATGAGAGCGTAACAGAAAAGAGCTTTTTGGTTAGTAATGATGTCCTCTTTAGTCGTGCATTTTACCTCTAGGTAATTTCTTCCTCGAAAATAATGCACTTCTAGTGCTTGACCAACCAAGCAAGCTTTCTTACCAACACTCTGCTTCACTATCCAGGATCCCTATGGATTATTAGTCAGTAAAAGGTTTAATATGGGATGCTTGTATATTCATCCAAGTGAAGAGAAATGAACTTTATCTTATATTATGTTGGCATAATACATAAATATGTTCTTTAACTTGGCTTCAACTGACATTTATACCCTCCAACTTTGAGTGTGCATAACTAGACACTTAAACTTGTATAAAACCCAATAAATAAACACACATGTCATATGTGGCATAATACATGTAAGATGCCACATAGGACACAAAATTGTCATGTAGGACGCCATATAGGATGAACGTGTCTATCTGTTCAATTTTATACAAGTTTAAGTGTCTACTTGTTGCGCACTCAAAGTTGGAGAGCAAAAATGTCAGCTGAAGCCAAGTTAAAGGGCATATTTATGTATTATGTGTATTATGTTTAGCTAAACTCTTGCTTCATGCCCCTAATATACCAACCTTGGAGATGTATGGTATAAGCTTAAACCTTGAATTCCTAAAAGAATCATCTTCATTGACAAAGCGCTCAAGTAACGGTGTTTCTTCCAAAGGAGATGTCAACATGTAATATAGAGCAAGATTGTAAGTGGTTGCTCCCGGGACCTGATCCATTTAACGGAACAAAAATATTTAAGATTAAAAAGTCTAGGTGTTTGATGATTATACATTTGTAAGCTGAAGAAATGACCTGGATGTTGATAATGAAAAAGAACTCCGGCCTACCCTGAGAAGCATATCTCTGTACATTGCAAGAGAAATTTTAGATAGGCAATCTATAGAAAAACAAGGTGGAACTTGTCGCATGAATATATTGATTGCTTTTATTGTTCACAACCTTCTTTTATCACATTTATTCACCTTATTAGCATCAGCCCCAAAAAGAATGACAAGTTACCTGCGCTATGCCTCCGGGACGACTAGCAAGGTCATCTTCACGTCTGTTAGATCTTAACCAATCAGCTGCAACCATTTGCATCAAGGTACTCTTGGCCTTAACCTAACAGAAATGATGAACTACTACAATCAACATAGCATTTACAAGCCATGGATTCAACTTTAAGGTTTGTATTTTTGAAATTATGGGTTCAGATATACTATTTCTTGAAATTTTTATGCATAAATTTGTTTCCACATCAATATTAAAGGGAAGGCTTCATCCACCTCTTCTTGAGGGGGATTTGTTACCTAATGTACGAAGTCCTATTCTTATGTAATGCTCATACCACAACTATATGTAGCATATATCTAGGAATCTTGGATTGACTTATTTTAAGCACCTTTTGGCTTTTAAGCTTTTTTAATTTTATTTTTGGAGGTGATTGAGAAACACAAAAAGTGCTTAACAATTTCTTTTAGGCTGGAAAAGTACAAAAATAAGCTAAAAACCAAAAGTTGGGTATGACGAACGTGTTTGGATTTACTTTTTTTAAGTGACATATAATATAAAAGCTAAAAACCGTAAGTTTTAAGAGTATTATACAGTGCGTGATCTTTTACAAGTCATTACTAATAAGAGAGAGAACCTTTTCCTGGTCTGCCAAGTAACTATCAGCACGAATCAAAAATGACGATGGATCGGCAGCAGCCCAACTGCAGGGCATACCAAAACTTTGATCTTTTTGAAGAGTTGCTCCATAGCAAAATGACACACACTCTTGATCCCAAGCCATTTCTTGCAAGTCCATATAACCCCTTTTTTGAACTGCAACATTTGAAACGTAGACAACATATCATTAACTCAGAGTAACAACAATAATAAAGCATTCTTCATTTTCAAGTCGTCACTGCCTTTTAATAGAACAACACTAACCTGTAAGATCATGTAACTTTTTCACAATATTTGCCGTGGTCAATTTTGTGTGGTAAGATTCCTGCAAATTAAGGGATGAAAGAACTTTGCCATGAAACAATTCAATATTTAACAATTTTGATAAAGGATATAATAATGACACTACAACAAAAAAAATGTAGCGGCAATTATTTAACGACAATAGCTTAATTGCCGCTAAATATGTATTTTTAGTGGCAATTAGCATTCTTTGTAAATGTTCCTAAGGCCTATAGAGACACTGGATCTAATGACAGTTAACTAATGTCGGTAAAGACTTCAGACTCTTTGTTAATGTGTATATTTAGTGCCGCTAAAAGTTGTTTTTGATATAGTGTGATAAATGACTTCATACTCAACCAGTTCTAAAAAGTAATAAAAGATATTGAAAAATTTAGATACTAGAGTGTACCATACAACTCACTTCTGGACTTGCATTTGAAGCCCAAGCGTGGTGTTCGTTGTCGGATGGTTCAGGAACATCGTAAAACTCATCAGCTGCATCATCCAATCTGGTGAGATTTGAAGATACTGGATTTTTTGCCTCATTTTTCACTCTTTCATCCGTGATCATTTTATAATCGACTTCTGTTTTGATCTCTTCCTTTTCACTAACAGGCAGGTCAATATCCCTTGTCAGCACAGTCGGTGACAACTCTGAGAAGTAGTTCCCTTCCTTTGCTTTGAACATCTCTCTTAATGCTGTAACATAAAAGAAGACAACACAAGACATATCAATGAAACATGCACTATAAAATGGTCCATTTCTTTTTCGTGCACTGAAAAATACCAGCAATTCTCTCAAGGAAGCGGATGGTCATGGATACCGTAGCCCCTTTCTTCATATAAGGTTTCCATAACTTCCAATCAATAGCAATCATATGCTTAATAATAGACGGCTTATCATGTTTGGTTGGAGTTATAACATGTCCACCACCTAAACAATTTCCAAAATAATGCATCAGAAAAAAAAGAGTAAGGGAACTCATGCATGTCTTAATTAAAACATAGTCCTAGGAAAAGGAAAAATCAAGCAAAACAAATATGAAGGAGTAAAAAAAATTGAAAAGTAGTGTTATTTTAAGCTAATTTGAAATTTTGATCATTTAACAAACTTTCGGATCTAACAAACAACCTGGTCGAGGAAAGACTGCGTACATGAAAAATACAAAAGACATATGTACTCTAAAAGCTATCAAATCTGACATGGTTGGTGCATCAATTTTTAGAGTAGCAGGCTCTCAGTCTATAGCTTTGCTCCAAGGGTTTGTGTCCATATCATATTAGTCTCTTCTCCAAAGATACAACTCAAGATTTGGCAAACAATGTCTTGAATTATGAAATTCATAAGTTTACAAAAAAAA